CCGCAAATGCTGAGCTTCTGACAGTCGGAAACGCTCTGGGCACTCCACATCGGGGAAGTGTCCCCTTCAGGGCAAAGGCCATAGTCAGTCTCCGAGCCCCCAGCAAAGTAAAGCGCCGTCGGGTTCATCGCAGGCACACAGAAGTCCTCGGAAGCACTGCCGGTTTTGGCGATTTGTGTCGAAGTATAGCCAACCTCCTTGACGCGGAGGATGATGATGCCAGAACCGCCATTGCATCCATTTGAACCAAAACGTCCACCCCCACCCCCACCTCCTGTCCCCGACATACCATCGGCGCATTCGAATTGAGCAGGGTTAGCACCAGCACTAGTAGTATATCCTCCAATACCTCCACCCCCTCTCCCACCCAATCCATATGAATTGACACCACCCCCACTCCAAGAATGACCACCTCCCCCACCACCAACCCATCCAGAATCTCCGAATGAAGTAAACCCAAATACACCAGACACATCAATTCCAATGCCGCCATCACCAGCCTTCGATCCACAAACACCTGTCTTTCCATAACTTCCAGCCCCTCCACCACCACCATGAGCATGTGATGGAGCTACACCACATGCAATAACATCACCAGACCCTCCATCATTGCCATACTGAAAAAAACCATCATACACCATATTGTTTGAATTACCACCTGAACATCTACTTGCGTCACCCATAGATGCACCCCCTCCACTTCCACCATTTGCACCAGAACCACAGGTGAAAGGACTTCCATTCATTCTACCACCTCCAGCACCACCCCCCTTTGCAACATATGTAGCAAAAGTCGAATCATAACCATTGTTTCCAACGCACGGTGCTGAACCGCATATTCCCACCCCAATACCTCCTTTACCTACATTTGAAACGAAAGTTCCTGAATTGAATGCAATATCAAGACCAAGAAGCACACCACCAGCACCACCCCCTGCTCCTCCACCTGTTGTTCCACCACCACCCCCAACAATCAAAATATCCACCACCATCGGCCTGCTGAACGTCACCGAATAAGTGGCCTGGTTTCCTGTCCCGTAGTATGTGAGATAGTAGACGAAGCCCAGCGACCCAGCCCCGAGCTCCAGCACGGTGGGGATCGGGGAGATTATGAGCTGTGTCATCTTGCAGTCAGTACAGGGAGCGTAGCCGGTGGGGCACGACTGGCAGGTGCCCGTGGAGTCGGGGTACTGGTTGATCAGACAGGTCGAAGGTGTGTAGCAATCGTCGATGCTCCTTGCCTTGCCCGGGGCGCTGATTTTTCCAGAAGGGCAGCTCACACAGGTAGGCGTACTCAGAGTCCAATCGTAATACTGGTTCGCTTGGCAAGGATTTGTTTGGCAAAAGCACTCGTTGGTCGAGCCGGATGGGGAGATCTGGCCGTTGGTGCATTTCTGGCATGCAAAGATGTCTGCTAAACGCCATACATTCGCAACACCCGTAGAGAAATACAGCTTGGTAAAATCCTCAGAAAATGCAAGTGATTTTGGATTGGTTAAAGTGGTCGAAAGTGCATTGAAATTATCCACGTTTGTTGCAGTGCCGGTTCCTATCAACACGCTGACATACAGATCCGAAATGCGGATAGTCTTGATAAGATTGTTGCTGGCATCAGTCACAATCAAATAATTGTAACTAGGGGAAAACAAAAGGATTGCTGGATTACGGAATCTTACTGATGCTCCAAATCCATTAACATTCCCCGATGTGCCATCAAGACCAATAAAATTTGTGACTGCCAATGTTGTAAGATCCAATCTCTTTATCACATGTCTGTCATGACAAGTGAAATAAGCATACGTTTCATCTTTATCAATGGCAATATTGTGAGCCGTGCAGGTTCCGGTAGAAATCGATGGGTTCGACTTCGTGTATGGAGAATTATAATCAATGGTCCGTATACCGTTAGATTCTGAAATGTATATCAGATTCTGCCTCTTACAAAATGCTGAACACAATGGATAATTGAATCTAGCATTCGTTCCTACTCCAGTGTTCGTTCCACTTGACCCAGACACACCAATGCGTTGTATTACTGTGGCTGTTTCTCCCCAAGATGGAATCGTCAAAATATCAACTACATGACCTGAATAATAACAGACAACCATCTTCTGATTATCGATAATACGAAGATCGATTGGCAGATTGGGCGTTGCGGACAGGAATATACTATTTGAGCTGGTATCACTTTCCCTTATCATCCGCAAATTTCCTGGGCTAGAATGTTCACACCAGTATAGTATTCCATTAAAAACAAACGAACCATGCGGTTGAGCGGTGGTTGTACTGATACTCCTGATATTCCTTGCATATTTTACATCACCCAGACCATACAAGTTTTGTAAGCAAGGGCTTTTATCATCACATGTCCCACTGTTCGAACTCGCATACGCCGGAGACACAGTCCCCGCCGCACACGCCACGCACTGCCCACTCGTGGAATCGTAGTAGGAGCCGGCCGCGCATGGAGTCTTACAATCACAGATCGAGAGGGAGTTGCCGGCAGAGTTCCCGGAGGGGCACGCCGCACACCCACCGTTGACCGTGTCCTGGAAGGTGTCCACTGGGCAGCCGGCAGGGGCGGTGCAGTCCGAGGTGGAGTAGGCCTTACCCGCGGCGGATACAGTGCCGCTAGGACAGGATTGGCAGGAGACTGTTGCGGTGTCGTAGTACTGGTTCGCGGTGCAGGGAGAGGTACAGCCGTAGAGATCGGAACCGGGTCTCGATGTGCCACCGCCGGGGCAATCCTGACACGTGTTGGAGCTGTCAAGGTACTGATTCGCAAGACAGCCCTGGCACCCATTCAGGAGATAGAAAGCGGCCTTCTTCCCTGCACTGGTCGTAGAGAACCACTGGGAGGCAGTAGCCCCGTTAGCCCCGGACTCGGCAAACGCCCCCTTCCCTGCGACGTTGAAATTGAAGTAACTCCATGCGTTATTCTTGTTGAGGTAGTCAATCTCGGAACTATACACATTGAAGTCAACCCAGGGCTTGTTCCCACTGTCAGACCAAGCATAGGCCATACTCGCAGAAACGCTAAAAGCCCCGTACGCATCCGTCACCCGCTCGTAGATCGCAAGCCAATTGTCGATGTCACAGTCATAGCACACCCTCGCAATAGCCGCGCTCCCCTGCGAGGCGACCATCCAATTAAACAATGCGTCGAGGTCGTTGAGAGGCGATGAGATGGCAGAATTCAAGTTTGTGACTCCAGGGAAGCCACCGGATATGACCAGTTGCGGGTCAAAGTACCAGGTCTTGGCGTAAGTGCCGGGGGGACAGCCGGTGGGATAGTAGAGCGGGAAATAATGCTGGTCGACGTCGAACTGGGTGAAGCTATAGTTATAAATTCGGAAATCATCGATAGAGCCATCTGTTTTACCAGCAGCTGCCCAATTTGCCCTTGCAATATACCAATTTCTACTTGAAACAGTAGATATTGACCCTATAACTTGCTGATTGCATCTGTCACATATAATCTCACCATTAAACCAAACAGTAAAATACGCATCCGATTGCACTGATATACAAATATGAAACCATTGTGAATATATCACTGGAATATTGTTCATGATAGTCTTACCACTGTTACCATTGAATGCTTGTATCCAGACACCAACACCCGCTGCTTTCGTGTTTTGAAACATTATATTACTGTTTGGTGCACCCCCGCCAAAATCAAAGAACCTAGAATCTGTTCCAGTTAAAGACGTCATGTAAGCCCATAAACTAAATGTTATTCCAGTAGCTTGTTGTATTCCTCCAATATCAATCGTATTCGGCACCGTCATATACTGCTGCGTTCCAGCCGCACTGAACTTCACAGCCCCATCCCCCCTCCTCCCCTGCCCCTGCGTCGCCCCGTAGTTCGTCGCATCGTTACCGTTTCCGGAACTATCCAGCCCGAGGTTGTTCGGGTCCTCGAACTGGTAGCTCACCAGCGGCGCGTACGGCTGGCAGCCATCCACGGAAGTCGCCCCGACGGAGTACGTCGTGGTCATGTGGGGGCAGCGGTCGCACCTCTTCATGCCGGATCCATCGTCGTAATGTCCATAATCGCAGCCCACACACTGGCTTGCCGTGAAGTTGGGTGTGTGGTAGTCGCCCTCGCAGTGGACGCAGTCTTTCAAGAGATAGAACAACGCCTTCTTTGAAGATCCAACAGTGACGCCACTGGTGGAGAGAAATTGAGAACTTGCCGCCGCGGTAGGCCCACAATCCCTGAAGGCACCAGTGCTTCCGTCATAGTTGCAGTAACCCCAAGTGTTGACATCATTCAGATAGTCGTATTCAGACCCAAACAACTTAAAGTCCACCCCCATGCTGTTATCCGTAGCGCTCCAGGCATAGAGCATATTCGAAGACACGCTCCAAGTATCCTTGTACGTGATGCGCTTGTAAAAGATGAGCCAGTGTGTCAGGGCACAGTCATAACAAACCCTAACGATAGTGCCATATCTGTTGCTCGCAACAAGGAGCTTAAAGGCATCGTCCCAGCTCGCCACCGGGGCACTCGCGGCGGCGTTCAGATCCGTCACGCCCGGGAAGCCCTTGCTGGCCACCAGCTCCGGGTAGTGGTACCCGAGCGGGTTCGGGTTGTAGCTGTCGCGGATGCAGCCGGTCGGGTAGAAGAGCGGATAGTAGTGCTGCTCGACGTCGAATTGGGTAAACGGAAAAGGATAAACGCGGAAATCATCAATGGCACCATACAATCGATAACTACCACCGTTTCCTATTCTCCAAATTGGAGTTGTGACTGAACCCATTTTCCTTTTCGTTAATTTGTTGTGGACCAATTCACCATTAAACCAAATCATGTATGCATTTGCATTATCTGAACCATCGTCGGGTAAAATTGACCAAACAATGTGATGCCAAGTACTATATGGGCGATTAACTTGAACGAATGAAGCACTTCCACTATCATAAGCCGCTATAGCAAAATCTAAATTATTGCTTTGGATCAATAACCCATTCCCACCATCCCTGAAAAAAATGATATTTGAATAAAGATTGGTAGACGACGTTCTGTATAACCAGAAAGACAGCGTTATACCACCACTTTGCTGTATTGCACTGAAATCATGTATCCCATTCAGCACTAGATTTTGATTAGTAGAACTTCCATCAAAGTATGCAGCACCGCTTCCTCTCCTTCCCATTCCAAACGTTACACCCCCTGTATTTGTTGCATGATCTCCATACCCCGAGCTATCATATCCCAAATCATTCGGATCATCAAACTGAAGGCTGGTGAGCGGCTCATAAGCCGTGCATTGGCTTAAAGAAGTAGCCCCCACCGCAGCAGTCGTGGTCATGTGAGGGCAGCGGACGCAGGTCTGGGTGCCGGTGCCGTCATCAAAGTAACCAATTTCACACTTACATTCTGATACAGAATTTGAACCAATTGATCCTGTAGTATAGTCACCAAGACATGCCATACACCCAAAGTCAGGTGCTATATTTTCTAGAATTCGAAGATCGTCCCCAGTGTTCTGATAAGTCAAAAAAGCATACAAGACATTATCCATATCTTCACTACTTAATACCTGATCCCATATGTAAACCTGGGAGAAGGCAAAATTGCTAGATTGCGAAGAAATACCATCGTTGATACGCAAAGCATTGTTTCCAGATCCACCTGTAGCCAAACCTTTATCCCATATTGTAAAACCTTGCTTCAAGGAAGCCATCTTGACATTTGTTGGAATTACACCTCCGTTGGTAGCACATACACTTAACCAATCATCCGCATTATTCAGTCCCCAAAACAGACTTTCTGTATTGTAACTCGTACCAAGAAATACTATTCCTGCTTTACCATTTGTTCCACCAGCCGTGTCAATATGACCCAATGCAAAATTACTGTTTCCTTGCAAGACCCTGCTTCTAGACCCACCATTATATCGAATCATAGCACATATAGTGAAAGTACTTGGTATACTGTTAGTAGGCCAATACATTTTTTCAGCAGTCGTCCCTTTGACGTAAGCAACAGATCCCACTGCACCGCTACCACTCTCAAATCCAGATGAAAAACCACTGCCTACGACTGTTACTGATGCCCTACTACCAAGAGAATCAGGTATTCCCGAACCAGTCCAATCTTCAGCATGGTAAATTCCCCATGGTATTTTTGTATCTAAAAGATTACCCAACCTTTGATAAGAATTACTATAGATACTTTCGCCATTCGTAGAATATGTCCCCTTGTTGCATTGAGCCAAGTTTTCATCAGTTGATAAAACACATTGTGTTGATGTTGTAGATCCTGTTGCTAAAGTTGTATATCCATCAGGACATCTAGTGCAACCATCTATTGTTATTTCTTGGAAAGACATGTAGTCAGCACTTGGTTTATTCCAGTAAATGAACACATATCTGCCTCTCAATGAACATCTCACTGTTAATTTTTCATTATTTGTAGAAAAGTCAAAATACCCAGTTCCACATTGTGCATTATTCAATGCCGTTGTTGAATCACCGATTAATATTCTTGAATAATCGTTCTGTTGTGGACAACAATCTACTCTGCTCCATAAACTGACTTCCTGTACATCTTTCGAACTCCCGAGATCAATCCTAAACCAGAATGTTGTGTAAGTTGTTCCGACCGGGCTTGAGTGATATCCTGATGCAGTTGTATCATAATTATTATCAACAGCACCCGCAAAACTAAAACCAGTCCATGCTCCACCGCTCAGAGAAGCCAACGAACAACTACTGGGTGTTGTACCACAATCTTCTAACGACTCCATAAATCCTGATGCTCTATATGTCCCAATTGGACAAACACCAGGAACATGATTGTAGGACGTTTGCACTGAAACTGATAAAATTGAGATGAATAAAAAACACAAATAAATTTCCACTTTTGCAATAGAGTTCCAATGCCTCATGCTTCCGACACCTATCTCTTGAACAACCAGCACACCAACTGATATATGTGGCCCACCCAGACCCGCGGAACGGAGCACGGGAGTGATGGAGAGCCTTTACCGCGGCGAGGACAGCGACGGGACGGGCAGGTCGGAGCCAAAAAATGGGGGGATGGGTAACGGGGGTAACGGTTCAGCGTTCGATGTCTCGTTGGTGGGGCGGGCCCGGCAGGGGTTCCGGATGCCTGTGAGTGGGGTTCTTGGTCATAGCTCCAAGCCGCCCACCGTCGCACCTACAAAGCCGATCACACAGAGACCAGTGACAAGCGGTCCGCGGATGGTGCCGCCGCCTGACAGGGTTATTAGTCCATCTCTAAAAGATTCAGACAGTGCCTACAGCCTTGCGACCGACGACGGGGCGAGCTCGAAGCACCCGGAGATCGTCAGGACGGGATACATACTATCCTTCACTATAGTCATCATGACAACCTGCATCCTAGAGAACCGGGGCAACGTCTTTGCGCTGAACCTTGCGATGCTGGCGGCGATGCCGCTGCTGAGTGCTACCATGGTATTGCACAGCAGCTCTCAAGGGAGGATACGGTATTCGTTGCTTGCTATGGTGGGGGTCACGTGCCTCTCGGCATCGTCTATATCTATAATCCTCTCGGACACGACGCTCTCCCTCCTGCGGCACACACCCGGCCTGCTCTGTTTGACTCTATTCTTCTACGGGATGTCGACAGCCTGGCGGCGGATGATGTCGGCGGTCTGCTCGGTGCTCATATTGCTATGTATCATAACCTCCGCAATCGTCGACGCCAACTTCGAGAACAAGCAGACCATGGTTTTAGCGACGTGCCTGATCTTCGGTCTCTTGTTCCTAGAATCCAACGTCGCGGTGACACCGCTGGCGTGTAAGAAAGAAGAAGGGGGGTGCATGGGGATAGTATGAGATAATAAAACTAAGAACTTTACTTGTACGCAAACTAGGACCAATGATTACTCCTTGCGCTGCTTCTTCTCGACAGAGCTAGCCGCGCCTTCGCTGGCTGCCCTCTTCACTGGGAGGGCGGCACTTTTCGTGGATTTCATCATTGGTACCGTCCTCACGAGGTTGGCTGACGCGGCGTCTACCTCCTTCTGGATCCGAGGCTGCATTTTCTGGTCGACGGCGGAGGTGGTGATGATAATGCAGAGTGTCATCTTGCTCTGCATAACCGTATCGTAGATGGCATCGATTCCACCGAGGGCCTCGATCTTCTGCTTCATGCCGCGCGCCTGCAACTTATACTCGGCATCCAAACGCAGCCGTTTCCCTTGAAATTCGAGGAATTTGAGGGTTTCGGGGAGGTCGAAGAACGAGGTGTTGTTCTTCTTCTGAAACAATCTAACAAAGTCAGTAATGTTCTTGGATTCGTAGCGAATGATCTTATTGTTTTTGGGATCCTTGATTGCCTTCTCTTCGTACTGCGTGGTGAAGCTCTTGGGAAAGTTTTCCATGCTGCTGCCCTCGGCCAGGTAGAGGGAGGTGTTCACCTGCTGCACGCGGATGCATTCCCTGATGTGATCGTGACTGCACTTCTTGCACCCCGCCAAGTGATTGCTGAAATTTTCGACCAGGAAGAAATGGATGCACTCCCCAAGCTTGTGCAAAAGGCTGTGATGCACGAATTCGGGCGGGTTGAAGCCAGCGGGTAGCTTCCACAGATACGGAGCGACGTATGGCAACTTTAGATTCTGGTTCCAAAGCCAGGGTGCACCAAGGCGGTAGAGTCCAGTGGACGGGATATCCTTGATCCTGTAGACGCGCAAAGGTGTTGGATTTTGATCCGACATGACAGATTGCCTTGCCCGCCCTCCCAGCCCGCGCGCTTTTATATGGAAACACACGAGGGTGCGACGCCATCGATTTAAACGTACTGAAGATCCCGCCATGCCAGAGACATGGCCTTCACGGTGCTGTTCGCGGCGCTGCAGTTCGCGGTTGCGCTGACGGCCATCGTGGTGACCTCCAAGATCGTAGGCCCGCGCCTGTACTACTACCACACGAGGATCACAACGCACAACATGGACGCGCTTTGGTCGCGGAACGTGTCCTTCGTGGCGCTGCACCCGGGAGGGATGGACGATATGGGGATGGGGGGTGCGGGGTTTGACAGCGTCACGGCTTCGCAGGGCAACCGCATCATGCCATCGCACCTTGACTCCGTAACCTTGACCATCCTCCCTGTCCTTCTTGTGACCCTCTGGACGACGATGACGATCTTCAAGCTGCCTGAGAGCAGGCAGTCGTGCTCGAAGATATCACCCGAAGACTCCTATTCACACGAGACCATGCAGGAGCACGCCACCTGGCACATCCTCTTCTTTGGCATCCTCTTCGTCCTGAACGCGGCCTTTGTCGTCTACGTCTGCAGCCCGGTCGACCTCCCCGTCGTCACCCTCGTCACCTGCATCCTCGTCCTGGCGGGGGAGATTGTCACGCTCCCGCGCGGGGAGGAGGAAGGGCATACGCTCGCTAACTTCCTCCGGTCTCTGTCACTATTGTTAATGCTAATTGTGTATACCTTCCTGTACTCCCAAGCCAGGAATGACGCAGAAGGGGTCATGGCAGCCGTCGCCGCCCGCTTCTTCCTAGACATGATCCTCGTCATCTGCCACACAGGGAATGGAGTCGTCATGGAGCACATCGTGGAGTGCCGCGTCCTGTATGTCGTCTGCAACAGCGTCCTCCTGACATCGCTCTATGCCTGCTGGGGGAGGTGGAGGTGAGATATTTAAAATTAGAAGAGAACCAGAGAGTCAAACATCAGGGATGTCACACTGGATAAAACGAGAGGAAAAAGATATGACGGCAGAGGAGCAAATTGTTCAACTTATCGCAAATTTACTGTACGACGAACTCCTGGATAGAGGGTATGACACATTGGAAAAACGCTACCGCTATCTCACAGATGTGATATTCGTCGAGGATGTACGCGATTTCACTGCCACCAATATTCAATGGACGAACAGAAATTTCTGGGAACGCAAAGTATGCGAGTCGGCGAAAGACAAGGAAAACAAATCCGTATACATGAAAGTGCTCAGAAAAGCCTCTATGGTTTTAAGAAGGCACAATAATGTCCACGAAAGAAACGTATTTGCGACAAGGATGGGGTTGCTGTCCCAAAGTGTAGTATCAGGCATACTGATCGATGACGTAAAGCCAATCGACGAATTCAAAGCCATCGTCAACACTCTGAATGATCTTCTAGACAATATCAGCAAGCATACGATATACAAGGGGATCAAGGAAGATAGACAGGATGTAGAAAACATCGTAAAACAAATCGAAGAACACACAAGGAAACAACACGATTCGCTTTGGGGTAATCTGACAGAATCATCTCGAATCAAAACTAATACAGATAAATTTAGAAAAAAGAGAAGGATGCCCGAACAAACGAACGTTTACGATGATGTCAGAGATGTAATCGTCATCATCCTGGACCTAGGGGTGCAGGCATACCTCATATAAAATGGACTCATACGCATTCATGGCTTGTGAGGTGGAGGTAAAGACAAATAGGATCATAAAAGCCCCTTAAACTTTAACGAGAAATGGACGCAGTCAAGGAACGCATCATCTACACAGTGGTATCCTACCTCTCGGTCGGTCTGTCGCTGAACCTAGCCCTGTACTGCCTCGTCAACAACTTCAGGTTCGATTGCGGGGTGTGAGAAATAAAAAAAATGGTGTTTTTTTTTCAATAAAAAAAATTGAAATCATCACCCTCATACCCCGACCCAGGTCCCCAGGGAAAGCCCCCCCCCCTTGCCAGATTTCTGAAAACCGTTAAACCGTTAAACCGTTAAAGTTAACGGTCTTTAAAACCTTTAAAGAAGGTTCGCCGGACAGTATACGTATAGTATGTATATAGTATATAGTATGTATGTATATGTATGTATATGTATGTATGTATATACATACTATGTATATGTATGTATCTATGTATGTAATATATGTATATATATATATATGTCCTGCGAACCTTATTTAAAATGATCAAAGGAGAAGAATCGCCGGACGGTGGTTGAAGGTTTTAACGGTTTAACGGTTTAACGGTTTAACGGTTTTCAGATTCTGGCCAGGGGGGGGGCCTTTCCTGGGAGACCCGGCTGTATAAGTAATTATAAACCCCCCGCTTCCCCGCTCAGACCACCTCTTTTTTATTTTTTTTTAAGGGAGGGTCCGTTTCCTCCTCCTCCTCCGTTGATAGCAAGGCGGGAAGGGCGGGGAGATCGGGCGGGGAGAACCACCACAGGCGTCCTGCATCGGCCATTATTTAAGCTTGCGCGGGTGGAGAGGGGGAAAGTAGTCGCGCGCATGTCCAGGAGACCGCCCGCGGACACATTCGACAGCGTCTACTCGCAGCCCGGCCCCAGTCCGGCAAATGTTTCAGCTCCCTTTCGTTCCCCCGCCGCCCAGCGGTTCAGTTCCCCGCACCCCAACTTCATGGCGTACAACTCCCCGTTCCAGGCGGTTCCTTCTCCTCAGACCTACCCGGGTGTATCCGCTTTGGTGGACTTCCGGGATGGCATCCAGATCGTTGAGGACGAGGCGGAGCTTGACCGCGACGTGCTCCCAAGTTTCCTGCAGAGGAACGGCCGCAAGGGTGTTTCTTCCAGGGGCATCGCTGGCAAGTACCATGACGACGACGATGAGCACGAGGATGCGGAGGAGGAGACGGTGAGCGCCTCCGCGGAGGATGTCCGCAGCATGGTGGAGGAGAACCTCCGCCGGAACTGCAAGTCCCGCTATTCTTCCTTGTCTGCGCTGGCCGGCAGATCCGGCGATTCTTCTTTGAAGTCCTCCTCCGAGGGGAAGCTTGACAAGAAGGCGGACCATGAAGACATCCTGAAGAACGTCCGCGAGAGCCTGAAGGAGATCCGGTTGAAGCTGTCCGGCGAAACTCCCGGGGGTTTAAAGGAGAGCTTAAAGGATAAGGCGCCGGTGTCTTCCTCTCTTGCGACGTCATCCCTCGCGTCCTCCCTCGCATCCCCCGTCCCGGGAACGACCCGCAGCTCCCGCCTCCTGATGGGGAGCGTGGGAAGCATGATCCGTGCGTAGGGGTGTTTCAACCCAGAGTGTATTTAACAAAGCGTGAATGTACCTGAAAACCAAACCATCGGCTCGCACCACCCCCTCCTGCCCGCGCACCTGCATGCGAACGGTGCAGCTGCTCTTCTACCGCGCCCAGCCGCAGGACCATTGGATCAACCGCCTCGTGTCCTGGCTGGACCCGCCGTACGTCCACGTGGAGCTGAGGTTCGAGGATGGGATGGCGTCGTCGATCTTCGCTGGCGAGGTCCTCTTTTTCCGCCCCCGCAGCTTCGCCAACCCGCACTACCACATCGAGACCCTCACCGCGGAGGAGAGGGGATATCAGGAGATGTACCTCTACTGCCAGCGCCGGGCGGCCCAGAATGTCAGGTTCGACAACCTCGGCCTTCTCCTCGCCGCGCTGCCTTTGTACACCCGGACCCCGATCGACCGCACCTTCTGCAGCCGGCACGTCGTCGAGACCCTCCAGATGGGGAACGTGCCGGAGTTTTTGCTGCTATCTCCCCACCGCACCACCCCGACGATGATCTTCAAGGCCGCGAAGAACTCCGGCAGGACGTTCTTCTCCAGCGTCCCGTTCAAGATCAGCATGCTGGAGAGGAGCCAGGCGGACCGCCCCAGGACAAAGGAGAGGACGTCGGAGGGCGTGGTGGAGGCGGTCACCTTCAGGCGATAGGCATGCTGGCCGCACTGTCGGTCATGGGGTATGGGTTGATCATATGAAACGCACAGATGGTGTGCATTACGTAGTAAATTGGGTGTTTACCCCGTTTTCTTCTTCCCTGTGTCCAAACCCCCGCGCTTCCCATCGCCCTTGAGCACGCCGTTGATGCTACCCATGAAGGAGAGGTAGAGCTTGGCCATCTTTTCGTCGACGCAGCGGTGGCCGGTCTCCTGATCGACGGAAACGACGCACTCCCTCACTTCGGCGGCGATCCTGGACATCTCTCTGACGCTCCTGGCCGCCACCATGTTGGGGCAGACCATGTGGGAGTGGATGTGCAGCCTGACGCCCTCCCGGGTCATGCCGCAGTCCGGCCACTGGGCGAGAAGGTTCTCGTGCACCTGCGCGACGATCTCCTCCTCCGACATGAGCAGCGCCGAGTCCCGGATAAAGTCCATGACCGCCTGCATGTAGGAGCAGTCCGAGCTGCAGTAGCGGCAGAACCAGCAGCCTTCCTGCAAGTTTTGACTGTCCTCCATTCTCTGGTCCATCATTCCGTCCATGCCCGCAGGCTCCTTCCTCCCGGAAACGCGAAATCGCGTTTTATACTTCTGGCACGGCTGTCCACCAACCCGTATTTAGGACACTGCCTTCCGCGGGATGGTAAGTACGGCCTTATGACCACCCACGTTCCCTTCTACACCTACGGGCCGGTCTTTGGGCCGAGCGTGTCTGGTGGGATGGATCCCTGGGGTATGGTTCAGGTTGGTGTTTCGGTGAAAGGCAGGAAGCCGTTTGGTAGGGTTAACGGGGATAACCAAAAAGTTCATAATGTGAAACAACCAACCTTCAAGCCAAATACAGATCTCATGAAGGAAAAGAGGAAAGTAAAGAAGGATGAACACATGAATGTGACGAGAAAGGAAGATGTCAAACCAGCCAAACATGAAACAACCTTCACATTCCCCTCGAAGCCCCCCGCCCCCTCTAAGCCCCCCGTCTTCCTCCGCCCCCACCGCGAGGAGATCGACCTTCGCTTCCGGGCGATGCGGGAGAACCAGAGGTACACGCTTCTATTGACTCACAGGAGTGGGGAGCGGGATGCTTCCCAGGGGATGCCGATGGGCCCCGTCCTGCAGTACGACGACAGGCTCCTGGAGAAATCATCCCCTGCCCCGGTTCCCCCGTCCTTCAACGTGGATAGGCACTTCCTCCCCGGCTGGCGCAAGCACCGCCCTCCCCTCCACAACAAGCGGCGCTGGCTCCGGTCTTACTTTGGGTACCTGCCCTGGCGCGGTGTGAGGGATGAGCTCAAGCTCGTGGACAAGGAGGACGTCACCACGACCACTCCGCACGACCTCGCATGCTTCTTTGCCGCCCTCTTCAAGCTCCATCAGCTGTCCGTGGATGGGGAGGACCTCCCCCTGAAGGCCGCCGTGTACGGCGCTGGATGCGGTGGCAGCACCGTCCCTCTGGCGCTGCTGTCCGAGATGGTCTACTGCGTCGAGTGGAAGCAAAAGGAGTGCAACGAGCTGCGCAAGAACATGAACACGATCCTCGGGCACTTTGGTGTCAGCCCCTCTCGGGTGGGTGTCATCCGGGACGACTTCACGCAGTTTGCCCTCCCCTTCAATACACAGTATCTGCTGGTGTCACCGACGTGGGAGGAGAACGGGGACGAGCCCAACGACCGCGTGTATTGCGGGCTGCAGCGCACTCCCGTGGAGGAGGTTGTTTCCAATGCGTTCGAGATGAGCCAGGGTCTGAGGATGGCTGTAGTTCACCTCCCTGTCACCATCGATCGGCAGGCCCTGCAGAAGCACTTCAACGAGAAGAAGCTGAGGTGTGTCTTTCGCCCCTTCATGGGCCCCAGGGCCGTTCTGCGGACCCTGTCCTCCAGTCGAAACCCGAGTATCGGGGGTGTACAGGATGAAGGGATGGACCCACTCTTGGAGATGCTCTCGGAGATGGCCATGCCCTCGGGGGAGGATCCGGTTGTTCCCACGGATCAGCAGTGGAAGGAGATGCAGAAGAAGATCGCGGCGACGATAGGCAACGCTGGTGACATCAATGCTGCCATCGACACCCTCGTCCGCGGCTACCAGAAGCCCGGCGGGATCATGCGAAACTACCTGCGGGCGGTGAGCAGGGGTGTCTTCCAGAAGCCGCTGACGTTGGAGAGGCTCGACCCCTCCGGCGATGACTTTGACGGCTACAGGCCGGTGAAGCGGTACCTGCATAACATCGCGATGATTGTCACCCGGGATGAACCCTACCAACTCCCGGACCGCCCTGCCTGGACCTCCCGCGAGGAGCACGCCGCCTCTGCCTCCCTCCAGGCCGTCGAGATGGAGCAGATGGCGAGGGCGCTGCAGCTCGGCTTCAAGGCGGAGCCGGAGAAAGTGCTCGCTGCCACCCACGCAGCTCGGGCGGCTTTGCCGATCGTCTGGAAGGACGACATGGATGTCGGCGAGGTCATCGGGAGCCTTATCAAGGCGTACCAGCTCATCGGCGCCAGCAACGCCCCGTACCCTTACTCCGCCCGGTCCGACGCCGACCCCACTGAGCGCAGGGCCAGGGCGCTGTTCCGGGAAGTGAAGCGCGGGGAGAGGGAGGAGGCGAGGATGACGGCCGAGGATGCGAATGTGGTGAAGAAGCACAAGAAAGTTACCGAATCCTTGGAGGATATCAAGGCTCTTATCCAGGAAGACAACGAGGTACTGAAGCATGTAAAATTAAGGCTCAAGGAAACTAGAGAATTTTGGAATCGCCTGCAAGAAAGGGTTCCACGCGTAGCACCCAGGAAGACACCCGGGGGCAACAAAGAGAATCCATCAGCCGTGGACGGAGGGGCTGCGGACACAGACGATGCGCTCTTACAAGAGATGAAGAGAGTTAAGAACATGATCAGAGAACTGGAGAGGGAGAAAGAGCAATTGGAGAATGACATACAGGAGTCTATGGAGGAAGAGAAGGAGGTGGAAGAAGAGATGAAATCAATCACTAGCAACCATGACGACAGGAGTATGCCAGCAACATCGGAATCCCGCATGTCCAGGGCCTACGTGTCCCCCGAGGAAGACAGCCTCTTCGCCATCACGCAGGAGGCGCTCAGCGCGGTGTCGATCCATCCGAAGCAGGAGGGCCAGGCGCTGGGTGCGACCTGGACTTCCAGGAAGGTGCGCGACAGCGATCTGGACCTGGCGATCCGGAGGGTGGACAAAGCGGTGTCGGCGCTGCAGGGAGGCACTCCTTTCCAAGTAAGTCAAACAGCATCCGCGTGCCTCCACCAGGCGCAGGCCACCCTGCAGGCCGCCGCGGAGACCTTCGCGGACACTGCCGAGTTGCAGAAGGCCCACGACGCGCTGGATGCCCTTGTGAACGACATGCAGCTGGCGTTCTCGGGTGCGCTGCGTCCCGTGGAGGTCAGGGCTGACGAGCCCGACGAGGAGGCAGCCGCGCGCTACCGGAACCTGCACGTCACGCACGCGAACAAGGCGGTGCGGGGCTTCGTGCGGGCCATCCGGGCGTACCGCTCCAAGGTCCTGCACACCGCGGAGGAGCTGTACCCGCGGGAGTGCGAAGACTGGGTCGACACGCTCGCCACCATCCACGAGACGGAGAACGCGGTGATCGCCGCGGGGGAGACGGCGCTCGGGGTGAGGAAGCTGGCCAGCGACCTGGCGGCCATCGACCCTTCCCGTCCCGGCGCGGCCAGGAGGAGGGATACGCTCTCTTTGAATTTACAGAAATCCACCGCCGCGCTGAAGGAGCAGGTCGCCGCCTACCACCGCGTCCGGCAGCCATCCTCGCAGAAACCCCAGGCCCTACTCGACGGCATGGTGGTGAACGAGATGCTCCGGACCGGTTTTGCCTGGCGAGACCCGGCGGTGAAGGCGCAGGAGGAGCGCTGCGGCCGGGCGCAGGCCTGCATCCGGCATTACTCCGCGGTGATGTCCACATTGCTGGCGGCGGGGCTGGACCCTTCTAGGATTGATGCCGGGAGGGTTGCGCTCCATGGGCAAGTAGGGCCGGAGGTGGCGGCCGGCCTCGTCCTCCGCCGCGCCACGCAGCGCAGCAACATCCAGGCGCTGGGCAGGGCCATGGCCGAGGTGCGGGACACGGGCTACTCCGGGACGGACATCGAGCGCCTCACCCTCACGGACACGGCGCTGCAGAACCTCCACGCCATGGTCCACTGGGTGGAGACGCTGGACCCCAGGCAGGCCGCGGAGCGGGTCGGCAGCGCCCTGCACGCCCCCGGTGCCCCCTTCACGGACGAGCAGAAGCGGAGCATCGCGGAGGCCGTCAAGACCGTCCCGAGGCTGAAGCCCATCCGTTCGCGGGTCTGTGCTCTCCGGGACGCGGTCGACACGGCGCTGCAGAGGGGCGTGTGCACCGCTGACGCCCTCGAAGCCCTCGACGCCCTGTCGCACATGGGCGAGGCGGAGGACCTTGCGGAGATCGTCGCCCCCAACGCCCACCCCGCTGCCATCTCACTCAGGAGGCTGCTGCGGGTGTCGCAGGACATCCTGTCTGACTTGTCCAGTGAGGGCAGCCCCTTCGTTCCCGACACGGTGATGCAGATGTGGAGGTCGTACCTGGATGACTTCCTGTCGTCCCCCGCTGGAACCACCGACCTGGAGGTCCTGGAGGTGATGATGCAGGACAAGGCCTTCGGACCCAGCATGCTAGCCGACTGCCAGGCCCTCGTGCAGCAGCAGCAGGACCTGGCTGCCAAGGTCTTTGACGGCTACATCGCCGCCTACACCACCCTGGGCGCCCTGTACGACGCCTACTCCCGCTGCCTCCGGATCGCTTCCACGCTCCCGGACTTTGCATCACAAGATGACTCCACCAAGTATGAAACCCTCTCCCTCGCCGACGATTGCGCCGCCGCCGCCTACGAGACGGGCCTGCTCGCAGAGGACATCCGCGAGATGCGCGGCGTGGTCGGCGAGAGCATCCGGCACATGCACGGGGTGTGCGACGTTCGCGGGCTCATCTCCGAGCTCAAGATCAATGTCTCTGTGTTGCTGCGGTAGATCACTTAGCTGTCCTTACATCTACTCTTGTTTTATGATTTATTTTCATATTTAATTTGAATACATTGAATAGCGATCATAAGGGGCTATGGATCGACATGCTCATGCCCAAAATGTGGATAAGAGAAAGCGACTTGTGCGAGAGCTTGCACGACTCGGCCGTGAACAACGAAAAATAGTTTATGAACAGATAAAAAGATTATTTCAGAAACAAAAAGAAAACAATAAACGTCTTTTCAGCGGCGTGGAAACAAAAGCAAGGGATGTAATTCCCGGTAACGATTTCAATTATGTAGAATTCAAATTTCAGTTTGATATACGGGGAAGACCACCATATGAGTTAAGTTTTTATTTTCCCGACATATATGATATGGCCATTCATGATCCATCTCAGGCAGTTTACATGAACTATAGAAAGACTTACTGGCTTACAATTCAATATTTTGCCATGTCGAAATTGAATGATGCAGATAAGGAATTATTACGGAGATGGACACAAACGGAAGACTATTCAATCACTACAATGTTACTGCAGATTTTCTTTAAAAAGAAATGCGAACCAAGAAAATCCATTCCCAAATCAAAAGAGGAACTCAAGTCAATCATGGATGTAATCGTAGGTGATATAATAAGGCACAAACTTTTCCCAAAATTCATTCAAGATTGGGAAGCATATGAGAAACAACAAAATGAAATACACCAAAATCCAAACGATACACCAAACCAAGATAATTCTCTCCATGGAAATATTCTTCCGTCCACATTCAAAGACGCAACCTACAAAGAACTGAAGAAGATACTCTCGGAAAACAATTATGCTAAAGTCAGAGAGGCTGTGGTCGCCTTTATAAAGGAACTTTATAGAATCAACGGGTTGCTCAGACCCATCAAAGATAAGTTCTGTCCACCCGACTTTTGGGAAGGTGCAGACATCTATGTCTTCAGGGGACATAATGACATTGATTTCAATAATCCAGATTTTGACCATAACAATGGTATTTTTTCTACGTCTCTTGAGTTCAACGTTGCTGCTGGATTTGCCACAACCTTGAAAGAGAGTCATATGAAGGTCAAAGGGTCAGGAAATGACGAATTCATAAAGAATACGGTGTATATCCTTAAACTTTCTTACGAATCGAATGCCCTGTTCACTATGCCGTTGTCGCGCTTTGATCATGAGATGGAAATCACGTTGTTACCAGACAATGAAGAGGCCTTTATGCAGAGCCTACAGGACTGCATGAATCTAACAATGGAGGACGTGCTATGTAAGAACCCAACTCCTCTGGTATCGGATGACATGGTACTGGACGGGGAGATAAGGGACACGATGCGTCGCGTATACAGCATCAAGGAGCGTGATTTCAGATTCCGCGATGATAGTATCAGTTTCATACACTGCGATAGCTGGTATGTATTGAGTCCGGATACAGGTTATATTCTGAAGGTAGTTAAAGCATATGAATAGCCTAGTAATGCGGGCATGAGCTATTGATGAATTGCCATTGCTGCTTGTTGTTGATCCTGCGATATAAAAAAGTCTTGGAAGATCAGGGTTTGGTTGATATCAATCATGGGTATGATATCTTTCATTTTATCGTTGAAGTGCTTGGCAGCTTCCCTATATTTCATATTCAGACCATCATAAATGTCCTCCGGGATGTTGCTGAGCTCATGCAGTGACGTCGTTAACGCCTTTTTTAGACGGTCGTGTATCGATGTTAGTTCGCCCGTTATGGTTTTCAGGCCGTCTCCTTCTCCATGGGTGCCTGTCGCTCGTGCCGCGGCCTGTTCCAGTTGATTGATGAGCGATGATGTCTTGTGCATGTTGTGCATCACGCTGTGATCCTTCACCAGCGTGCAGAAAACCTCAGTAAAGTTTCGGAGACAGAGGTACATGTTTTTCACGCTTGCCAGCCCTGTGTCTCTTCTTGCTGCCTGGTCGTAGATAATGTACGGGGATATTATCTTGGACATTAACGTGATCCTCGACACCAGCACTCCGTGATCACCATTGTCCACAATCGCTATTTGAAAACGCGGGAGTATGTTGCTGAACGCTTCGATGGTGTCGGGGTCGTCTTCGTGTATCTCCGAACAAGCTTTCACCCACTCGTCATCGTAGTTAGATGATTGCAGCATCTCCAGCACGTCATCCTTCTTGTTGTGCAGTATGTGGTCTGAGATCAATTTCGCAATATGGTGGTATGCCATCGATGCCATCTTTCCCTCCCTGTACCTTGACATTTATCCTTAAATAAGGGTGTTTTTGTGATGTATGGGTTCATTACTCTCGATCTAATTTTATTGAAACGGTACCACTCACTCTAGATCCCCTCCTCCTTGAACGCCATGGCGAAGTCGTTCCAGATGTCGCCCCCGATGGCGGGCGGGCGCTCGAGCTCGTCGGTCGCCCTGCGCTTGTCCCCGACCCTCGCGGCCTCGGAGCTGAAGGTCCCGTTGACGCGCTCCTTGAGCTCGTTGTTCTCGAGCCTGAGCTGGTCGAGCTCGTGGGTCTGGCGCTCGTAGAGGTTGGACGCGCACACCATCATGCGCCACACCCCGTTGTCCTCGGCGCTGTTCTCGACAAGGCGCTTCATACCGGTGAGCAGCCTATCCTTCATGCCCTGGTCGTTGCTCTCCAGCGCGTCGCCGAACTTGGCCATGACGGTGTCGAGTACCTTCTGCATGTCGTGCCTCGTCCTCTCGCTGAGCTTGTTGTTCTTGTTCATCAGCTCCTCCATCTGCGCGCGGAGCTTCTGGTTGGCCTCCTCCAGGCTCTTGATGTGCTGCAGGACGGGGGTCATGTCGTTGAAGTTCCTGACCTCGCCCTTGGAGTCGACGACCTTGCCCGGGCCCGGATTCCCTGGGGTCTGCGAAATGGATGACTGCTGGGTACCCTGGAAGGGCTGGCCTTGCAGGGAAGACCCCTGGAAGGAAGACCCTTGGAAGGAAGACCCCTGTAGTGCCTGCATGCCCGAATGCGTGTGGTCGCCCTCCGACATCTCTCCTGGCGTGCGATCACTTTATTCTTAAATATACCACCTAGCCCGCTACGTTGCTCTACCGCCCGCGGGAACCCGTCTCGCGTCCGCTTCCTCTTCTTCTTCTTCCTGTCTTGAATCCCTCCTGACTTCGCACTCCACCAGACCCTTCCGGATCCCGGTGCTAACGGAGGCTCTAGGCCGCTGGGGGCGGAAGGACTGGATCACGAGCGTCACGCCGCCGCGGCAGCGTATCTCTTGCAAAGGCTCCAGCGAGATGCTCTGCGCCTCCCGCACCACCTCCCTCTCGTTCTCCGTCCTCCTCCGCGGCTTGAAGCCCACATGGAAGAGGGAGTAGCTGGACTCAAAGAAGTTCCCCGGCGCGGCCCGCACGGGCCAGAACATCAGGTCACCCTGCAGCTGGCTCAGCGGGGTGGCACGGCGGTCCCGCTGCAGGCCCAGCGCCGCGAACACGTTGTCCTCCACCCCTCCCGTCCTCTCCGACCTGCGGTTCTCCCCGAAGACCCTCACCTCCAGGTTGGTCCTCCTTCCCGGCCTCCTCCCCGGCGTTCTTCCCGGCATCATTCCCGGCATCCTTCCCGACATCCTTCCTGATGCGCTCCTTGGTGAAGTTCTTCCCGCCCTCTTTTGTAGCCGTGTGCCTCCCGCCAGACCTCTCCACCCGGTACATCACGTCGAACCTGCGCGCCTCCTCCAGCATGTCGAGGATCGCCTCCCCCGCGTCCGACCACCCGCGGCGCACCAGCGGAGTCACCCGTTCGCACTTCTCGCACCACGCGACCACACCCGGGCACAGCCCCTTCTCCAGGCGGTCGCTGGCCATCGACAGGATCCTCTTCCTGGCATCCGCCGCATTGAGGGGGCTGACTCCGCCGTCCAGCGCAGGGACCTGCATGAATATCTTCATCGAGATCGGTTTTTCTATCCATCCCTCGGGAGGGTCGTCCACCTCTCCCCACTTGCAGCACAGGCACTCGCGCATGTTGTCTGGGGTGCGCTCCCGTTTCCCGCGCTTTTTGTAGCCCTCGCTAAAAAAAAGAAAAAAAATTAATGGCAGCCCCAGAATCGACCCGACCGCACCCCCCTCCTATTAACGCTCCTGTTGGAAGCACCCCGGAGATGGAAGAGGCGAAGCGGGAGAAGCAGCTGGCGAAGGACCGTGCGAGGGAACGGATCGCGGCGATGGAGAACCAGAGCACGGCGGACGACCGGATCAACCGTACCTTCGAGCTGTACCCTCTGACGAGAGACGAGCAGGACACCTGTGCGGCGCTGCTGGAGCCGTGCAAGCACACTTCCCTCCTTGTGATGCCGACGCACCGGATCAACGAGCTGGGGGAGTTCCAGGGCTTCCGCTTCAACGCCGGGACCCACGTTTCCGCGGGGATCCTGCCGATCTCGAGGAAGATGTTCTTCGGGACGACGATGACGGAGTGCATCTCCCCGGGGGGTGTCCAGAGTGAGCAGGGCATCAACCACAAGGCGATCGAGCTACTTTCAGATCTTCAGTCATGTAGAGAACGAATGCAGCGGGTCCTGCAAAAGATCCAAGAAGAATCGATGCATAGCAAGGCTTCCTTCCAGTGCATGCCGGTCAATGCCTACGGGGCGCACGAGGAGGGCGACGCCTACCTCTCCGACTTCCGGAGGTACGCAGACTCCAAGTACTGGGCGCCCGAGCCCCCGGACTTCGTCGGCATCTACCACGGCTTCACCCGCGGCTTCATCAACGACATCCGTGAGCACAAGCTCTACATCGTCTGCTCCGGCGGCCTGAACTACGCCTCCCACGACTTCTACAACATGATCCTCGACATTGGGGACAGCGTCACGGCGGGGGACGTGTACGAGAGCGAGGAGGTGCACTGGCTCCGGAAGGCGTCGCAGCGCTCCCGGTGCAAGATCATCAAGGCCGTCGCCGACGAGTTCGGGCTCGACATCCCCGTCCAGCTCGACACCCACGAGCACTCCACCCGCGGCAGCCACGTCGCCGTCCCCACCACGGAGACCCTCCACCACGACATCCAGAGGACCGCCAGGGACGTCGTCTCCGTCTACAACCACGCCTGCAACACCGAGGCGGCGGAGAACGGCGTCCTCTGCCCCATGCACCCCTGCGAGGGCGTCTGGCTCTTCCAGGGGCCCAGGGTCAACTGCAACGGCTACCAGTCCTACGGGTCCGGGTTCGGCTCGCAGTTCATCTGCGGCGCGTTCCCCACGGGGTCGTACCCCATCGCAAGGATGCGAAGGAACGTCAAGGGCTTCTACGAGACGCGGAAGGACCCCGTGAAGGTCTCCGCCATCTCCATGGAGATCTTCCAGCAGAACGTCGTGACGGTGCCGGGGAGCATGTTCGAGATCGAGCACCAGGCGAACCAGAACCTCGAGCTCAACCTCGAGTACTTCTCCTTCGACGAGCCCTTCATGAAGAACCTCGAGGCCATGCAGTGGAACAGGGACAACGGTGTGGTCGAGCTCATGCCGATCATTGTGGGGCTGGGGTGATCGGGTAACTTATCTACACGATTTATAAGAAAGGCTTTATTCAGTTATTATTGGTGAGGATATAGAGCGTCTGCCCCGACCACAGGTCGATGAACACCACCCCAATCCTCAGCGAGAGCATGTCATGCACGGGAAGCCCGATAGAGTACACCAGAGCGTCGGTGAAGCCGAAAGAGAGGTAACCACCCACGAGGTTCAGCGCCCCGCACACCCCTGACCCCATCCTTCTCTGAAGGACGCTGCGCAGCGTGTTGGAGGTGCCGAGCATGACATCACGGAAGGAGGTGCTCCCCGGCGTGTATCCAGAGGCGCAGGTGCAGAGCGCGGGGTCGACGGTCCCAGAGGGAGAGACGGTGTTGTTCGGGCAAGGGTTGCACACGCTCCCCATGAACATCTCGATGGTCCAAGGGGAGATCTGCCCGGATGGGTTCTGGCCAATCACCCGGAAGCACTGCACATCCACGAGGTTCATAGCAATGCTGTAGGACCACGCCCCGGAGCCGGACTGGGAGTATAGGTTGTAGAAACTCTCGCATGTCTCGCAGTCCGTACATTCCGAACCCAGCACTTCCACAGTTTCAAAGGATGCGGCTGTGAAGCTCGAGGCATATAGAAGGATGTCCGAATGCGTCTCGATCTCCACCGTACATATGGAGAAACGCGAGTCAGTACCCCCCTGTATGACGATCTTGGACCCCACTGCTATCGCCGTGGCCGTGCAAGAACCCGTGGCGGTCACAACCGGACCCCGCGTGCTGGCGTCCTGCTTAAAAGTGTTCGGGCTGCACGCAACGCAGCTCGAACCAGAGAGGTAGTACCCAGGCGCGCAGGCACAGCGGTCGGGGTCCGAGGCAGAAAAGGCCGCGCGGTTCCAGCGGTTCGGGCCGCAGGCGACGCAATCGTTCCCACTCTGGTACGTCCCCGCGGGGCACGGCTTGCACACCCCATCTTTGACCCGAATGTAGCCTTCGCAACACGGCGCCGCCTCCCCGGAGTTCCTTCCCAGCGGACAGGGCAGGCACGGCCCGCCGTCGTTCACGGGCTGGTACGTCCCCGACCCGCAGGGGGAGCAGGCCGCCACCCCGTTGGAGGTGAAGCCGAGAGGGCAGCTGAAGCAGAAGGACGCCCCCGTCATGAGCTGGTAGGTGCCGGCGGGGCAGTCGATGCAGCCCTCTGGGATGACGGTAGACACCGACGGGGTGATGGAGGTGAGGGAAGGGCCGTACTTCCCGGCGGGGCACGCAAGGCACCCGTACCAGTCACCACCAGGGCATGAAGGGCAGTACCCCGCCCCCGCCGCAATGTACAGCCCGGGCTTGCAAGCCAGAGTGCAGGTGGACCGGTCCGCCAGGAAGTTGGTCGAGGTGCAGCTCAGACACATGTCCTGGGAGTAGGTCTCCGGGCCGCAGCTCAGCTGGTAGTAGCCCGCCGGACAGCTCAGCTCCCCCTGATCGACGGAGACGGACTCGGCGGCGCAGTGCTCGCACGTGGTCCTCCCCGTGCTGAAGGTCCACGTGCCCGCCCAGCAGTCCAGGCACACCGACTGGCCGACCTGCTGGTTGTACTTGCCTAGCGGGCACGGCAGGCAGCTCGCCTGGCCCGCGCTCCCCTGGTACGTCCCCACCCCGCACTGGTCGCAGATGACCTGCCCCGCGCTCGGCTGCCTCTGCCCGACCGCACAGTTGGTGCAGGTGCTGGCACCCGAGATGATCGAGATCTTGCCCACCGCACAGTTATCGCAAAAAGACCGCCCCGTGTACTGCTGGAACTTACCGGGGGTGCAGGCCGTGCAAGTGGTCGGGCCACTGGTGATCAGGAAGCACTCCTTGGGAGAGCCAGGGCAGGGATCTCCGAACACGGAGTTAAGGCACTCTATTATCCCAAAGCGCGAATCGGATGTCACCGTCCTCACTATATTGCACGACGGGTTGCTGACGCTCTGGTACCGAATAGTGTAGACGGTGTTTAGACTCAGGTACGCGCAAGCCCAGCCTTCCGATGCACACACATAACCCGACGACTCACTGTACTGCCCCGCCGGGCAGGTGATGCAGGACGACGCGCCCGCCGAAGAGTACGACCCGGCGGAGCACATGTTGCAGTACGACTGCCCGGCGCTCCCCTGATAGAATCCCGCAGTGCAGTCCGTGCAGACCGTCAGTCCCGTGCTCGCGGCGATCTTGCCCGCGGGGCAGCTGGTACAAGAGCCCAAGCCTTGCACACCAGTGTACGTCCCGACGCTGCACGAGGTGCACACGCTGGCCCCGGAGAGGCTGTACTTCCCCGCATCGCACAGCTTGTACGTGTCCTTGCTCGTCTCATCCTGGTACGATCCGGCGGGCACGTTGCTGCAGACCCTGTTCTCCGTCACGAGGTTCAGGGTGAAGACAAACCCTGGGGGAGGGTCAACGATCCTCACGCTGTCGGGCCTCAGCTCCTGGCAGCCGCTGGTCTCGTACGTGCCCGTGCCGCAGGTGGTGCATGCCGTGCACACGGGTGCCGTGCTGGGCCCGCAGTCCGAAAGGTATTTGTCCGAGGTGCAGGGGTAATTGAAGCAGCTTGCGCAGACCCGGTTTTGCGTGACAGCCCCCTGCTTACAACCCGTGGACTCGTATTGCGTCAGGTCGCACGTAGTGCAGGCAATGCAGCTCCCGATGTTGCCATTCCCGCACCCGCTCAGGTACGTGTCACCCGAGCACGACAGGCTCGAGCAACTCCCGCACACCGTGTTGGCCGTGTCGGTGCAGCTAGATGCCGTGTATTGCCCAGCGGAGCACGAGGTGCAGATTATACAAGAGGAAACCGCGCTAAACCAGAAAAATCCCGAGTTGCACTCACAGGAAACTGAATAGATGCCCAATAAAACTTGCACTCGTGATATTTCAAAGGAGCCCGATGGGCAGCAAGTTTGGCCTACAGTACACACTACAGTGAACCGATACCCCGCATGGCAGTGACCCACCAACAAACAGAGCAAAAAAACAGCGAAACATTCACGAACCCACACCATCCATTTCATCCGCATACCCGAAACAATGTCTTTAATAACAGTCTATACCACCAATCATGCCCTCAGCACCTCGCAATAGAAGCCATCCACGCACGGCACGCACTCTCCGTCGACATCGTAGAACCCCGGCTCACACGCGCAGCCCTGCGGCAGGCTCGTGTTCACCCTGGAGCGGCGCAGCAGCGCGCAATCGTAGCAAGTAGAGAGCCCCGCCCTGTCGTTGTACGTGCCGGGTTCGCACTGCAGGCAGCGTTCTGCCCCAAAGGTGTCCGAGTAGGTCCCGGGCCCGCAGTCCGGGCATCCGCCGGCGTCGCCGAACTGCTTGCGCTTGCCCGGGATGCAGGCCAGGCAGAAGGTCGAACCGGGAGGGGAGAAGGTGCCGTAGGGGCAGGGGGTGCAGCTCGCAGAGAGACCGATAGAAAAGGTGTCGGCGGGGCACGGCGAAAGGCAGGCACCAGAGAGGTCGGCAGCGCAGGAGGTTGATCCGGTGAGGGAGGACTGGCCGTCGCTGCAGGGGATGCATCGGTCGGACTTTTCCGGAGAGTAAGTCCCCGAGTTGCAGATGTACACACAGGAGCCATTCCATGGCGGCACGATGTCGATCTCCGGGACAGAGGAGCAGCGCTTTGACCCATCGGTGTCGGTGATTGTATGGCTTGTTGGTGGGCAGTCCTCACAGGAAACTACACCGTCAATGTAACGAAGTCCACCCGGGCATTGCACGGGGATATCCTCCAGTGGTATGCAGTAACCCGCCGAAAAACCACCACAACCAGTGCGTATCGCCGTACCAGAGCACTCTGCACAGACCGTGCAGACGCCAGGAGAATCTGTGCTACACCCCTGGTTGTATGTACCCAGAGGACACGAGGTGCAGCTCTGGCAGGTGCCCGGACCAAACCTGCCGCATCCCACCCTGTATTCTTCAACACCGCATTCCACACACGCCTCGCAGGCGCTCTGGCAATCCCTCCTGAACTGGCCGGCCGGGCACTCCGCGCACAGCTCGCAAGTACCCGGCGACGCCCCCCCACACCCAACCCTGGTCTCGAACAGAGCGCAGGAGGTACAGGGAGCGCATACCCCGTCCTGGTTCCCCCCGCACCCCGCTGCGTACTCGCCAGAAGGGCACGACTTACAGGTGGTGCAAACCCCGGCCGAAATCCCACCACACCCATTCGCGTACTGGCCGGGAGAGCACCTGTCACAGCTCTCGCACGTCCCAGGGCTGGTGTAGGTGCAGCCGGCGCGGTAGGTACCAGAAGGGCAGGATCCACAGGGGAGACATTCTCCGATGCTCGAGCCCCGGCATCCGCTGAGGTACTGACCGGAGGGGCACTGGTTGGAAGGACACGCCACACAAGCCCCTGAGCTGTCATCAGAGCACCCGCTCCTGTAGAAATCCGGAGCGCAGGGAGGGCATCTGTCGCAGCTACCTAAAACGACCCTGTTCTCAACTCCATATACGCCATCATCGGGATGATACCACGGTATTCCACTGGATTGCCAACCGCTGGCGCTTGGCACCGAATAGTACACGCTCAATGTGCTGCCCCCATAGTTTTCACTGAATTGGATCCTGATGGGATAGTATGTTTTCGCATGCAAGTAGATGTGCCCATAACTTGACTGTGCTGCATGCACCCCTCCATTGTTCACCACCATCACGTATTCACCGTCGGATTTGATCCACAGGTAGCTCTCGTCGTCGCTGTTCGTGTAAAAATCGTATCTGCCTCCATAGCTGCCAGTGTAGAGATAACCCTTGTATTCCACAGAGAACAGGTCTCCCGTTGTCCACAAGTTCAGTATCTCGGTGTGCACACCAGAATCCACCACGGTGCCAGAATACGTGCCATATGACCCCGTCCATTTGTTCCAGGCAAGACCATAACTCACTCCGGAAAGTTTGAAGTAGTATCCTTCGCAGCACGCAGATCCTTCCGACGAGGTGGTCCCCGAGGGGCAGGGATAGCAGAAGGACTGCCTTGGAACAGCCTGGTAAGTCCCTGCAGGGCACTGCTGACAGACCCCGGGCGACGTCAGGTAATTTCCGGCCGGGCAATCCGAGCAGAAGGTCTGGGTGACGCTGCTGGCAAAGGTACCAGTCGGGCAGTCCTCACACCAATAATAGTTATGCTCTGTGTTGTACCGACTGAACATTCCCGGAGGACAGGCAACACAGGTCTGCGACGAGTCGTTGAATCTCTGCCCCTGTGGGCACGTCCTGCACGCAAAGTCCCCCGAAAGAGAGAAGGATCCGGTAGGGCACGGCTTGCAGTAGTACATGCTGGATGACACCTCGTACTTCAAACACGCAGATGGGACCACCGAACCTCCTGGCTCGTACGCCGCGTAATAACCCGGCCTGCACTGACACGCATAGAGCATCACACCGTTGAGGTTCTGTGCAAGGGTTTGGCTTTCCAGTGACAAGTCAACACAGAAGGACGTGAAGGCCTTCATGCACGAACCCTCCTCTACCCAACGGAACACGTTGTTACTCGATACTTTGTACAACCCAGCGTTGAAGAAATCCAATTGGTTTGCATGCATACTTACACAAGAGAGCGCTGTAGTGCCATAAGCAGTGAGATCAACATAGTTCGAAGATGTACAGAAAGATCCCGCCGTGCATGTCCCAGAGACCGAGTATCTGTTATAAGTAAATCCCTGGACACAGGATGCAACACAGGACGTACCCACAACTATCTGCTCGGCAGTGCAAGAGGTACACACCGTTGAACCAGCCGCGGAGTAGCTATTCGGGGGGCAATCCAGGCAGACCTCGTTGGTCGTATCGGAGTACTTTCCGCCCGGACATTGCGTGCAGGTGCCAGTGACCGGGTTCGAGCCAGACGTCCACGTCCATTCGTAACCGGGACAGCAGATAGCAGACGTGTAAGAGTTCGACACTGGTCCCGAGCAGGTTAGACACAAAGAAGATCCCTGTGTCGGCTGGTAAGACCCCGCCCCGCAGGCAGTGCAGGAAGTCCTCCCTACGTTCGGCTGGTGCATGCCCCTGGGGCAGGGGAAGCAGGATGTGTATCGATTCTGAGCCGGTGTATACGTCCCTAGAGGGCACTGGCTGCAGGCGCTGTTGGAGCAGCTGCTCCGGAAGCTCCCCGCAGGGCAGAACTCCCAATCCGTGCACTTTCCTGGGAGGGACTCTGTGAAGAACTTCAAAGCCTTGTACTGGCACACCCCCGGGCTCAGCTCCTCACAGTGCCGGAGCTCGTCCCCCTGGGTGCACTGCGTGTAGTCGCACGCCCCACATACTCTCGCTTGCCCCGACCCACAGAGCGTATGCATGTACTGGTTCGCCGGGCACATCGAGCAAGGCTGGCAGAAACCGGCCGAGCCGCCGGTGCACCCCACGCGGTTGGAGTTGCTCGGGCAGTCGCCGCAGTCCGCACAGGAACCGGGCGACGATCCGCCGCAAGCCATCGAGATGAACTTGCCCTCGGCGCAGGAGAGCACGCCGCTGCACGATTCGCAGAAGGTCTGCCCAGTCAACTGCTGGTACGTCCCGGAGGCGCAGGGGCTGCACTCCGTCGCCCCCGTCAGCGTCGTGTACTTGCCCGCGGGGCACGCCACGCACGGGGCCATGTCGCCGCCATCCAAGGCGAAGTAGCCCGGAAGGCAGCGGCAGGCGCTGATGTCGTTGATGTACTGCGAGTTGTTCAGGCACGCCATGCAGAACCCAGGGCTCAGTCCGCCGCATCCCAGCAGGAACTTTCCCCCGCAACCCGTCAGCTCGCCGGTTGGGCTCAGGCCCGTGCACCCCACGACGGGCTCGTCCACCTTGCAGTTGTCCACGCAGTCCGTGCAGCTCCCAGTCGAGGTCCCGGAGCAGCCCGTCCTATACCGGCCGGCGCCGCAGTCCAGAACGCAGTTGGCGCAGCTCCCCGGGTTCAGGCCGCTGCAGCCCGCCAGGTACTGCCCGTTCCCGCACCACCACGTCGGGCAGTCCACGCAGCTCCCCGTGCTCAGGCCCGAGCACCCCAGGCGGTACTTACCCGAGCCGCACGCCGAGAGCGTCGAGCACGCGGTGCAGCTTCCCCCGCTCGACCCCCCGCAACTCGTGACATACTGCCCATCCAAGCAAGACACACCAGGGCATTTCAAGCAATAGGATTGACCAGTGTTAGGCTGGTAGGTCCCCGAGGGGCAGCTCCTGCAGACCGTGGCACCCAGGCCTGGCGCATAGGTACCCGCCCCGCAAGCTGTGCAGGGCGCAAATCCGGCCAGGCCGTAGGTCGTCGGTGGATACTGTATGTCCACGGCATAGTTGGTATACGAGGATATCGCGCTTGCAGCATCAAAAGAGCTCCGATATCCCCTGTCGCATATGCAGTTGAACTGTCCCGCCTCCCACCCGAAATACAACACAGCATCGAAGCCAAGGGTGCTGAAGGTTCTGGTTGACCCTGTCGGGCATGACGTGCAAGTGGCATCGACGTTGCGAACATTTGAACAATCGTAGGCCTGCTGCGGTGAGCACGAGTAGTAGGACCTCTCCGGACATGATTCACAGAGGACAGTGGAGGATGTGCAGAGCAAAGGGATTTTAGACTCAATCAAGAAGCCCTGCTTGTCGTAAGACAACCACATGACACCCGGGCCCAGATCGGCACACGCGGTTCTGCAGTTGGCAGCCGTGGGGTTGAAGTTATTGACCAGTGTCCATTCCTTGCAACGCACCACCTTGTGGTTGTTCTGGTCCACCGCATCGGTCCAGGACGATTGCATCAACCTACGCGACGTTGCAACCTCAAAGTTGTTGAACTGCAGCTTTTCACATACTGTGCAGGTGCCGTACGTCAGCGAGCAGTCGCTTGCCGTGGTAGACACCCATTGTGTTCGTAAGGCAGGCTGTATTACAAATTGAGAAACGCCCAACCCCGGCCAGAAAACCAGCAAAACCAACCACCCCCACATCTCACTCACCCAGGCAAAAACACAAGCGCTTAAATGAAGGCATTGGGATCCATGGACACAAAAAAGGAAAGAAAACACACAGTTTTATTACCACAAGGCTACGCTAAGTACACACGGCAGGGCAGTAGAACCCGGCGGGGCAGGCCTGGCAGCTGGTCAGGCTCGTCCGGTAGTAGCCCGGGTTGCAGGAGCACTGTGCAATGGACGTCGCGCCGGCGAAGGACGTCGAGCTGGAAGGGCAGGTCTTGCACATCACCCCGTCGTTGGAGTAGGTCGCCGCGGGGCAGGTGGAGCACTGCCCGTAGTAGACCTGCGTGCCGGGGTTGCAGTTGCTGCAGCCGGATAGAGCCTGCATCGGGTCGTAGTAGTCTGTGACGCCGTTGCCGTCCGAGTCCATCTTGTGCGCGGAGACGTGCCACTTCCGCGAGAGGTACAGCTCGATGGCCGCTGCCTGCACCGCAGAGAGAGCGATATCGAAGACGATGATCTCTTGGATAAAACCAACGAAGTTGTACGCCGACGCCAGATCGTTGGCCGCGCCGATCACCGCGTAGCCCGTCGAGCCCGTGTCCCCCGCGGAGTGGCCCAGGCTCACAGAGGGGTTGCTAAAGCCGTTGACCCGCAGCTCCGTCACGTCCTGCACCCCGTTGTACGTCGCCGTCGAGGAGAGCACGATCCGGTCGTGGGTCACAACGGTATCCAGGAGCGGATTGGTGTTGTACGTCGTGTCTGTCGTCCCCGGGGTGAGGTCGTCGCGCAGGTAGAAGGCCTCCGTCTTGCTTTTGAAGCCAAGCGTCTGCACGGGCGTCCCACCCTGTAGAAGCCCGCTCACCACGTGACCCTGCGTGGCAGTGTCGGCCCCGGTCTTCTGAAGGACGGCAAAGATCGTTGCAGTCTTCGCCTGAAAGGGGCTGGTGCCGGTGGTCTTGTACCCGCAGGACCCGTCGAAGCGCACCCCGACCCTGGGGAGCAGCTCGCACTGGGTGGTGTAGCGCGCGCCGTTGGAGGATGTGAGTGCCACGGCATCCCGCCCGTTGCCACTCAGGTCCTTCCACGTGGGAAGCGGGCGGTAGTCCAGAATTGTCTGGTTGATGTCCGACACGGTGTTGATCCCGGAGTTGAACGTCCCGTCCATGTTGGACGCGTCCAGCCAGAGCTGCAGGTTGCCCTCGTACCCGAGCAGGTCCCCGGCCCTCTCCGTCAGGTGCCCGACGTAATCAAGCAGCTTCGCCCCACCCCCTAGGCTCGAACCTCGGCGCGCAGAACGCCGGCAGGCAATAGTCGGTCGAAGTCGAGCCATTGACGGAGAAGGTCCCGGAAGGGCAGGCCGTGCAGCTGTCCAGCCGGAACCGCCGGATCCCGCTGTTGCCCTGGTCTGAAACGAGCCCCCACCTCCCGTCCCTTGTCACCGAAACCCCAAACGGGAGCGACAGCGTCGCGGAGTTCGGGTCGATGCTGTCCTCCCCACCCGCCACCCCGGTACCCACCAGCGTCGAGACCGCCGTGGAGGAGAGGTCGATGATGCGGATCGTGTGGTCGCGGCTGTCCGCAACGAGGAGGGACTGCCCGGCAAAGTCCACCGCCACCCCCGTAGGGTTGTAGAACTTCGCCGCTGCCCCATTGACATTGTCGACCAGGCCGTTCGTCCCATCCCCCGCTAGCACGCTCAGGGTGGGAGTCGGGGTAGTCCAGTCCGCCTGCTGGATCTGGTGGTCCGACTCGAAGGCGATGTACAGCTTTGGACCGAAGACATCCAATCCGAGCGGGTAGCCCGCCGTCTGGCTCGCAGATAGAGTCAAGACAAGGCTCACGGAGAGCGTCACCAGGTCGATCTTCCGCACATTATTCGTATCCACCACAATCAGCCAACCCATGTCGTCCGTGATCGCAAGGCCGCGGGGAAGGTTGAAGAGGGTATCTCCCGCGTTGTTGTTGATAGTAGAGGTTGTAGCAGTAGTCGTGCAGGTGCCTGCAAAGACCACCACCGCCGCCGTCGTCAGGTCAATACGTCGGATGCAGTTGTTGTTGTAGTCGGATACGTAGGCATATGACTCGGTCCAATCGAGAGTAACATCTACGGGTTTGTTGAATTGAGCAAGTACTCCAACCGCATCGTTATACCCGGCAGTCCCACTCCCTGCCAGCGTGCTCATGTAACCGCTGACAATATCCACCTTCCGTATCGCATGGTTCCCGCTGTCCGCAACAAGGCAGTACACTAGCCCGCACATCAGATTATAAGGAGTGTTCAACTTGGAAACGCCAGGGTACCCATCCGTGAAGCCAACCCCGTTTCTCCCCGCGATGGCCTCCACGTCCCATGCCGCTGAAACCCCACCAGTCCCATAGTCCCCAGCCCCGCAAATGCTGAGCTTCTGACAGTCGGAAACGCTCTGGGCACTCCACATCGGGGAAGTGTCCCCTTCAGGGCAAAGGCCATAGTCAGTCTCCGAGCCCCCAGCAAAGTAAAGCGCCGTCGGGTTCATCGCAGGCACACAGAAGTCCTCGGAAGCACTGCCGGTTTTGGCGATTTGTGTCGAAGTATAGCCAACCTCCTTGACGCGGAGGATGATGATGCCAGAACCGCCATTGCATCCATTTGAACCAAAACGTCCACCCCCACCCCCACCTCCTGTCCCCGACATACCATCGGCGCATTCGAATTGAGCAGGGTTAGCACCAGCACTAGTAGTATATCCTCCAATACCTCCACCCCCTCTCCCACCCAATCCATATGAATTGACACCACCCCCACTCCAAGAATGACCACCTCCCCCACCACCAACCCATCCAGAATCTCCGAATGAAGTAAACCCAAATACACCAGACACATCAATTCCAATGCCGCCATCACCAGCCTTCGATCCACAAACACCTGTCTTTCCATAACTTCCAGCCCCTCCACCACCACCATGAGCATGTGATGGAGCTACACCACATGCAATAACATCACCAGACC